CCCCCATGCCTCCCATTCCAGCGCCTTTAACTCCTGCCTCGCCATATCTGTCATACAGAGATCTTTTCTCATCATCTGATAAGATCTGCAAGAGGGAAAAAACAAATATTTAGGCTCTTCATGTATCAGAACAATCCCAAAAACAAAAAGCTAAAATCAACCAAAGAAGAAAATGGACTTCACCTCATATGCATTACTTATTTCTTTGAATTTATCTTCTGCTCCAGAATCCCTGTAATCAAAGTGTAAACAGAATGGTGACGACTAACACAAAGGTTCTTCATCTTCTTAGTCTATGTTTTCATAATTTTGAAGGAGGTTGGTGGTCATATGTTAATATGAGAAAACTTAACCAAAGAATTGCAATAATTCTCTTGCCTAGTTCTAACAAGAAAAACACCAATTTTGATGCAGGAAGGTAATCACTCACACAAACACTGTATACTGGATGCTGAATTAAGTAAATTTTCACTTACTTGTTCACGTCCGGATGGTAACTCCTAGCAAGCTTCCGATAAGCTGAAAAATAGGTGCAATTTCCTCGTCAAACTATCGAAAAGCACAAGTCAAAAGCTGGACACGTGATGCTCAAGGAGAATCATCAATAAGAGCTACACATCAATGTTGCATTTTTATGATTAGGGACTTCAGCGAAAGAAATCACATACCACTTTTAATCTCAGCTTTGGTTGCAGTTTTCGAGACTCCAAGGACAGAATAAAAATCCTGAAAAAATTGAACATACACTCTTTTACAAACAAAAAAAATCTTCATTCTCCAGAATATATAACAAATAAAGAGACAAGAGAGTCATCATTCAATATCTAAAGAAACGACATGTAAACATACAGTATCAGCTCTAACAGTGAAGCGAGCTCCTCTACGAGAATGCGTATTCCGGGAATTTCCCGTCAATGACAAGAATGGCAATGAACCATGTGAGAACATACTCGACCTTAAAGCTCCCAAACAATTAATTTGGCTAATGGAACTGCAAAAGGTTATCATAAGAAAAACATTTCAATCAACAATACAACAAATCAAATTTCTTCAATTTAATCCGTACTTGTCTTGGTGAGATTCCAATCTGCTTGGATAATAAGCTTTTACTGCAAACTGAGGACGAAGAATCCCCCATTGAGCAACGCATGAACTTCCAAATTGTATAAGAGCCATTACAACTCCCTGCAACACAACACACCAAATTGGATTCAGTTTTCTTCAAAACCCTAATCAACAATCAAAATTCCTTCCAACAAACAAACCAAAAGGTGAAAGCTTTAAAAACCTAAGAATGATTACGCAAATTTCGACCAAAGAGTTTCACTTTCACCGCAAATAAGCTTAAACCCATTACAAAACATACGAAATTCATCACTCTCTAATCCAAAAGGACACATCTTTCTGAAGAAATTCGATGGGAAATGTTCAAATCAGCCTAAGCGAAGGAAACCGTGAAAGTATTCGAAAAAACGACATTTTTATGGATGATTTGAATCGAAGAAGAGAGAACATGAAACGGAGAAGAACACAGAGAGGTAGGAGAAGGTGAAATCTTACCGTAATCGAATGGTGACGACGACGGGAGAAGAAGAGAGCAGAAGCGAGATAGATAAGAAAACGAGTAGACTCAAATGAAATGAAAGACTCACTCTTAACTTTAAAACCCTTTTTTGTTGTTTTGAAAATGATAAATTAATTTATTAATTATTGAAAATCGTTATTATTTTGTTTTTTTTAATAATAATAAAACTCATTCGAGAGGTAGGTCACTAACCGGCATGCATAAAAAAAAGTATAAAGTTAGAAAAATTCAATATTTTTTAATAGTTACGAAAAATGTCAACTAAATCAGGTAAATGGCTTTCTATATTATACTCAATATTTTAAAAAATACCATGAATTTCAGTATCTTTATTTTTGAACAAAAAAATCATATTATTTTATATAATATCATGTTTTCTTTAACACGCACAATAAAATACACTGTTTATTTACAAAAAATATAACATTGTCATTTTTGTAAATATTGGCAAAATTATAGTATTTACCTCAACAAATAAATTCTTACATGATTTTTTTTTTGTCAATGATCTCTATATATTAAATCAAATGCAAATGGTTTGGTGATTGCTTTGTAAGACAAACCATGCTCTGGTTATGTCTGATTTACATGGATGAATATAACTAGACACTGTTAAGAGGACACATAAAAATTGAATGTTTTAAAAGTGTTTTCAAGGCTTCAAGTTATGAAACCCTGAAGCCTTCTAAAAAATGTTGATCACAAAGCATATAAAATCTTTTACTTTCTTGAGATAAAAGTATTCTTAATTCCAACCAGAAGCAATGTCTTAAACAGTAAAGATAATAATAAAACAGTAGTAAATCACACTTAGTGACAAGCTAAACATGATTAAGGCATAAAAGAAAGGACTTGTAATAACTTTTGAAGTAACATCACTTGTTGATCTGATTTGGAGATATTAAGCTTGCTAAAATGAGTCTCTTAGCATTGTCATTTGGAGGAATCATTGCATCAGTGCAAAGAAAAGATTTCATGTGTTTGTACATCTCCTTTGGTTTCTCTTCATTAATCGCATGTCCTGTCTTCTTTACTAGCACTAATTGTGCTCTGTTTTCCCCTAAATGACTGATACAAAGACAAAGAAAAACTCGCATTAATCGTCATTAACCCGAGTGAGAAAATGAGATAAAGTAATAACCTTTTCAATCTATGCGCCAATTCGACTGGAAAAACTTGATCTTCCTCTCCCCATATCATCAATGTAGGCTACATAATGAACCAAACACACAAATGAGAACATTCAAAGAGATTCAAAAGACGAATGGAACCGAATCAATAGATCACTATGAACAAAGACCTGTGTTATCTTTGGAAGACTGGCGAATCGCCTACCCTTATGTAAAGCTTCCACAAGCTCTTTCCTTTCATGAAGATAATCTCTACACATCACCTTGTAACAAAACACATTCCCAAGATCGAATCAGTCAAAGCAAAGAAAGCTACTAAATTGGTCTAGTGAGCATCAAAGATTGATACTTTTCGAAGGTGAAAACAAGAACTCAACACCATAATCTCACAAACATTTGTATAGACACTCAAACTTATAAGAACCCATAAAATGAATATACAAAAGGACTAAACTTTTGAAACTCACATGAATGTAGTCCATGGCAAAGCAAGAAGGGATCCAAATCGGAGGCTTGTAAAAAGATAACTTGAGAAGTCGCCGGAGCATAGTCGGAGACTGAGGAAACAAAATCATCGCCGCTTCCTCCGGGGACTTAACTTTAAACATACCTTCCTCAACATCTTTCTCTTCCAAAGCAACACCGGCGCATATTAGCACAACTCGATCTACCCTCTCCTTAAACTGCGCCGCAATTGAATACGCCACAAATCCACCGTAGCTTAGACCAGCCACGGTCATGGTCCGAACACCGTGACCATCCATCACTTTCATGACGCAACTCGCTTGGAACGACTCGGACCGGTCGGACCGAGTCGTTTATGACTCGCCGAAGAAGATGAGGTCCGGTACGTAGACGTTGAACCGGGGAATAAACCGGTCGATGAACCGGTCCCACTGCCACATGGCGTTAGCTCCGATCCCGTGGAGGAGGAGGAGAGTGGGTTTGGAGTCGATGTGGGTTTGTGGGACCCAGCAGTGGACGACGGTGCCGTCGCCGAGATCYGAGGTAGATGATCGGAGACCGGCGCGTGAGAAGCTGTATTGGTAACATTTGTTACGAGAAGACACGTAGCTGAAGCAACTCGCCATTGATTCTCTTAGTAGAGTT